GATACTACAAAACGTGGTATGTCTCAGATAATCACATTATCCACCTAACCAAATTTCTTTGAATATCCACATATGTTGGAATTAAATTTTCATCTAAATAAAGTTATTTCATTCTGAAAGTAATATTATCTTTCTTGTTACATATTTAATCTCCTTCAAGAAAATTATATAAATGCTGTGTTCCCAGTCCTCTGTAATGGTTAAATTTGAATGTCCCGTACTACAAATTATGAGCTGTTGACTATACATCGATATAAGAAGAAAAGCATGAATCTTTTTTGTGAAAGCTTAGTATTGACTGATCCAATTAACACACCAAGTCATCCAGCTGGCTGTCTGTTTTCCACGTAAGATGATGGATGCATCATTGGATTCCATAGCAGAGAATGTAGCTCCACTTTTAATTAAAGACTAACAACTTGGAAAGCTTAATGAAAAAAACATCAGTACAAGAGTTACCTTGTAAACTGCTTTGTCAGCGCTAGTTTTCTTATGGTAGAGATAATTTGGGAAGCATGTGTAGGTAGAAATAAAAAATAATTTTGTCTCCTACACACTGGAAATTTGAAAGTTATTATCCTAAGCTCCCTGGATTCTGTCACATAACTTAGGGGAGGACTGGCTCTCCTCCATGAAGGTAAATGCTTTGCCACAGCCTGCCCATCTCAGGGAATTTACTGACAATGTCTACACAAGGCAGAGACAAAGTCATGTCACTGTCTAGAATCAGTGTACATCTGGATATATTTTGAGTTAGTGCTTCTCAACTTTTTCCCACCTAGGAAAGTTCCATACCATTTCATCTTTTTTTCCTTACTTGGTACTCACAGCAGCATCTAGGCACACAGGAGCACACACATCCATGCACGCCTGGGGAAAGTTAGTGTCAGTTCTTCCTTTAAGGCCTAATGGCCACTGCTTCAGGCAGTACTACACAAGCTGCCTTGGGTGTAGCCTGGAGCGTGGACAGAAATCCAATGAGGTCCACCCAAAAGACAAACGATCGGAACGTATTTTCTCAGGAAATCAACCAAAATAGAAGTCACCTCCTGGATAGCTCTTCCCCAAGGATGACGTGGTCTCTGGGTCTGGACTGTCCTCAGAGAACCCTGCCCTTCCCTCCTTCCATCCTCATCTCAAATTCCAACACCCACCTGACATTTCATGGCCCTGTTTCTGTTTTATTATTGACACCAAGCACCACTTCAACCTTCTATCTATTTGCACAGATGATGCAAGCATCATGAGGGGAAAGATGTCCCCAGTTTTGACCAGTGCTACACCAAGAACAGTGTTTGATGACTAATACATGCTCAAAAGTATTTGATGAATAATTTTCTAAAATGAGTCTTAGAAGAAATTGGATTGTATGTACGTAAGTTGACAAGCTTAAGGAACTATTAATTCTGTAGAGACTACAAATGTTACAAGTGACCTAGAAACTTCTTCCCTTATGGTGACTGAGTGGATGTGGTTCCTGGTCAGGGCTGCATATCTATGTGAATGTGTCTGTAACGAAACAGCAAGTGCCTGGACAACAAGGCAGACCTGGATGCTGGAGACCCCCCCTTGACAAGTCAAGAGGTCATAGCAGTGGCTGGCTCTGGGATCTACCCTGATTGGCAGTTAGAGAAGAAGGAAAGCACCCTGAGAAAATCTCGACTTCACCTTTTCTATTTTGCATCTATAAAATAATATGACAATTATTATCTCCCAGGATTCATTTTTTTTTATAGGACTGGAGTTTGAATTCAGGGCTTTGCACTTGCCAGACAGGCACACTACTGCTTGAACTATACCTCCAGTCAAGATTCATTTTCTAAAATGTGAAATTCTTTTTAAAATCTGTACTTTACTACCTCAGTTGCGAGAGACATGTTAAAGTCTTGCATACAGGAAGACTAAAAAAATAGGACTCATAGATCTTACAGTGTAATGTTTAGCAATCTTGGCTGATGTCATTGAACTCCAACTTTTAAACCAGATCTTTACTGCTAATTCTAAAAGTCTTGTCAGAGGCTTGATGGCTGAGTTATTTAAGGTTCTGGAGTCACCTTCCCAGTGCCTAGGTTCTTGTCCTCAGATCTGGGGTCTGGATGGGACATGCCCATCACCTCTACTTCTCTCTTGTACCCTTCAACGCTGTACAGTTTACCCAATGCTCTTGATTAAACACAACCCTATATCCACATCTGACACATCTTCTGACCAGTGTCAGTGCCTAAAATACCTGGCACCCTAACCATCTCCATCCTAGTGTTCAGATTAGGTTTTAGCTCCTCTTTTCTGGAAGCCTCCCTTGACCTCTTTCCAGCCCCAATCCCCTAACAAAGGCCCCTAGGACTCCTCTCACTGCTCAGTACTGGGCATCAGCTGATGAAGATGCATTAGCCCCATTTCCTTAAATTACTAGACCCAGCAATGCCTGAACCACACCCCTCTTAGTATCATTCCCTAAACAAACAAATAAGCACTTCATAGGTGACTTGTGAAAATGAAGAACTTGGGAGGAGGAGCTAAGTTGGCCATCTGAGGAGAGGGTGCTGAGGGAAGTACAGGAGGAAGGGACTGCCCTTTGGGTGGTTAGTGTGTGTGTGTGTGTGTGTGTGTGTGTGTGTGTGTGTGTGTGTGTGTGTATGTGTGTTTATCCTCCACTGGACAGCCCCTCCAGGGAAATAAGTCATCAGGGAGGATTTTAGATATAACTGGGTTCAGAAGTTGAAGACTAGAAGAGATGAGATAAGGAAGTTATTTATGAGAGTTGACCGAAGAGCTTCAACTGCGTCCTTCTCCTACCCACCACCCAAACACGGACACTCTGCTCTCCAGATCAGAGCTCCACCATATTTTCCTCATTATCTGCATTTTTTGCCAGTCAGATTTCGTGTGCATTCACTAGGTTGACATCCCCTTCTACACACGGACAAGTTCTTCCAAGAGGGTGATGTTCTCATAGAGTCTAACTCTATGAGAAATCACAAGAATTGAGAGGGGACCTGTCCTCTTCAGCTGTCAATGTTACCTCACCAGCTACTGACTTGTCACCTTGAGAAGAAGTAGGAATTTCAGGTTCTAGGAGACTGAGAGAGGCCCAGAGATGCCTGGGAGTGAAGCCAACTTACTCCCAGGACTCACTTAAGAGGTGGGCACATACATCTGGGGTGGCACTGGATGGTGACCTATATTTATTATCAAATGCAGGGGAACACCATCATGCAGGAATGGGAAACAGCCAGCTCTCCTGATCTGGGACAAAAGCACTCCAATTAAACAAAATTTATATAGGTAGAGGTAGAGGCAGAGGTAGAGGTAGAGATATAGGTATGGGTATGGGTATGGGTAGGGGCAGGGGAAGGGGTAGAGGTGGGGGTAGAGGTAGAGGTACAGGTACAGGGACAGGGACAGGGACAGGGATAGGTACAGTATAGGTGTAGGTGTAGGTAGAGGTAGAGGTAGAGATGTAGGTATGGGTATAGGTACAGGTACAGGTATGCGTACAGGTGTAGGTATAGGCGTAGGGATAGGGATAGGTGTAGGTGTAGGTACAGGTACAGGAATAGGTGTAGGGATAGGAATAGGTAGAGGTAGAGGTATAGATATAGATATAGATATAGGTACATGTAGAGGTATATATTGCAGACAAGGTCTCTGTTGCTCAGACTGGTTTTCAACTCTCAATCCTCCTGCCTGAGTCTCCACAGTAGCTAGGATTACAGGTAAGCACCACCAGGCTCAGGTAATTTTTCATTTTTGTTTCTGCTTTTCCTTATTCTAAGATTTGAGGCAGCTCCACAAAATATACTTGGTACAAAAGAAGGTTTTTCTTTAAAAAAAAAAAAAAGATAAATGAGGAAATCGTGGTAGGAATAAGCAAAGGCTTATCATGAAGTGACCCACTTTTGGAGTGGGCAGAATGCCAGGCTCAGAAACCCCCACCAGCGAGGACAGGACAAGGTGGGAGGCCCCCAGGCGACCGAGCCCTATCTGGCTTTTGGAAGTGTGCCTGTGACTGTGACCAAGGATGCAGATGCTTCATGAGCAGGAGACGGGGATGCCAGCCCTAAACAACCCTGGTCAATGAACCATCCACTCAAAATGCCAACAGTGCCCTGCTTAAAACCCATACATTACAAAACAAAGCAAATTGCTCTGGACAAGTGCAGCAGATCCTGGTTCAAAGGTGAGCGCTCTCTGGGAAGAGCTTGGAAAGGGTCCCGAGTGGCACAGAAAGAAAATACCCAACAACGTTGTCCCTGTAAATCTAAGAACTCATTTCTTCAGACCACTTCTTAGAGCATCCTTCAATAAAGGCCAGTGGCTAGACCCCAAGGCATGACTCAATGAAGCAATCCAGGACAGAAAGGTGGGGAGGAGGCTCGCAGAGCCATTTCCCTTCTGGACCCTTTGTAGTCTGTTAGGACTGGTACCACTTTCACTTCACCTGGAATTAGCACCATGCATCCTCTGCACAGACCAGAATGGAAAGCTAAGAAGTCCTTCAGCAGTTTGCATTTCTGGTCACAGGTTTGTTTATGAGCACAGCTTCAATTCCTACTGTGCAGTGGTGGTGCACATCAGATTCAGAACTGAATCACACAAGAAACACCCTTAGGAGAAAATGTTCCTGAGTGACATGGTAGGAAACAGGCCATTATTTCTGCTATGCTGTTATTTGGTGAACTAGTGCAATGACTTGGTAAATGTCAACTGTCATAAATGTTCCTGATAACTTTGCAGTGACACTAAATACCCTTCTGAGAAAGTCAAAAGTGTCTAGGAGAAATCATATCAGAAAAGGTGAGTCCTGCTCCCCATATCACAGACTTGTCATGGGCTCAGGCAGGGCAAAGGACCTCTCAGACCCTGAGTCTTGTCTATTAGGAAGAGAAGCCTGACCTATCAGAGGAGGAAATATAGGTGCTTTGACCCCCAGAGAGCTCATGTGGAAGACAGTGTGTGACCCAAATGCCTGTGATGACCTGGAAACGCTGGTCACTTACAAGCTCCGAGAAGCCACGGACCACCTGTCGTCTCTTCAGGTTGGTCTCTCCGTCCAGGTTGGCGGTCTCAATGTGGCACAGCCCATCGGGGTCACTGGAGGACAGGAGCAGAATGTCCGCAGGGATGATCTCATTGCAGCGAAGACGCACAAAGTCTCCCACGTGGATTTCTTTCCAGAATCGGTTCACGTACTTCTTTTCTTCCCTGGTAAAGAGACTTTAGTTAACACATCTGGCAAGTGGTTGGTCACAGCTGAATCTTGGTGAGGCTCATTTAACAACTCTTTCTACTTTTGCACATGGTGGAAGTTTCCACGATAAAAAAAATTAAAAGAAAACAAAAACAAAACTAAACTAAACTATGTATTGTATAATTCCACTTACACAAAATACCCAGAATAGGGAAAGCCAAAGATACAGAAAGCAGACTTTTGGTTGCCATGGCCAAGTGGAGGAATATGGAGAGTGTCTGTTTAGTTAATATGGTTTTGGGACTTCCTTCAGGGGTGACAAGAATGTTCTAGAACTGAACAGTGGGATGAATATACAACATTGTGAATACACAAATGCTACAGACTGTTGGCTTGTAAATGGTTAAAATGAGCTGGGTGCTGGTGGCTCATGCCTATAATCCTAGCTACTCAGGAAGCAGAGATCAGGAGGATCACGGTTCAAAACCAGCCCAGGCAAATCGTGAGAACATATCTTGAAAAACCCCATCACAGATAAGGGCTGGTGGGGTGGCTCAAGGTGTAGGCCCTGAGTTCAAGCCCCAGAACTGCAAAAAATTTTAAAAAGAAAATGGTTAAAATGACTACTCCTAGGCATTTGCCCAAAAGAACTAAAAGCATGCTCCAAAAGACCAATAGCCAAAGCAGAAGGAACCCACATCCTGCAAGATATGAATGGGGCGTATACACACAGTGGAATATTATCCAGTCATAAGAAATGCCATGATGCAGATCAACCTTGAAGGCATTATGCTAAGAGAGGTAAGCAGTCACAAAAGGACAGCTAGAGAAGGTGCCAGTAGGAAGAGCCTACAGCAGGCAAATTCAGAGGAAGAAAGCAGATGTGCAGTTACGAGGACTGGGAGAGGAAGGACAGGCAGCAACTGTTTAATGGATGAAAAATTTCTATTTGGCTTGATGGAAAGTTCTAGAAACAGTAATGATGACTGAGCAACATCGAGTATAATTAATGCCACTGAACTGGACATTTAAAATGGATTCAATGGCAAATCATACAATATATGTATTTTACCATAGTTTTTAACAATTAACAATGTAAAAATGTTGAAATATTATCTTGTGCTTATTTCATCACAATAAAAGCTAGCAACATTTATAAAAAAAACTTTAAACCATGTGAAAGTAGCAATAACTTTAGCAGAAAACCACTGCATCCTGTGCCTGTAGTTCTAGATACTTGGGAAGCTGAGGCTGGAAGATTGCTTGAGACCAGGAGTTCAGGGTCAGCCTGGGCAATGTAGCAAAACACTGTTGTGATGGAAAAAAGGAAGGAGACTCTTTTCTCTTCAGTGTGTGGGACAGCTGGTGCCTAGGAGTCCTTGAAGTCTGCCAGGATTTCCCTCAAATCCACACTGTGGAGGTGAAACATTGGTGGCTAGCTCTCCAGGCTCTACACTTCACGTCCAAATCTCGGGATGCAAACTAAGGTGATCAACACAACACTCCCCACAAAGCCAGGCCAGGCTGCAGAAAGTAAATTTAGCCATGTTAAATTGCAACAGGATAGCAAGTCACTGTGTCATGGCCAGGGCTTGACCCCAGCTCCACCTCTGAGCAAACCTGCTACAGTGTGTCATTGCCTTGTTTGTGCAATGGAGGGAGTACCAGATCCATCCTCTCCCCCCAACCCCAAATGAAGTAGATAATAACCGCCCCCCTGTGGAAATTTACATGAAAGTGTTATTTCTCTATCCGTCTATCTGTCGGACTGTCTATCTATCTATAGTGACAGAGAACAAAATTGTGTTAGTGAGTCTGTATGAGGGGGCTAAGGGAGGTGGGAGTGAGAAAGAAAATGTTAGAAAAGAAAAAACATTTAAGCGACCAATTCACATATGAATATAATATAATGCGCTGTTGAATATTAGGGGAGCATAGGGATAGAGAGTGAGTAATAACAGAGGGGAGGGGTTAATTTGATAAAAAGTGAAACCTCCTTGGACTATCAATATACACTTAGTTTTAAAAAATGAAGGGCAGGGCAGGAGAGAATAATAAATCTTTTCTGGGTGTGGGTACCAGTGGGAGGGGGGCATAAGGAAAGTGGGAATGAGGGTAAATGTATTTTGTATCCATACAGGAAAACAGAAGAATGAAACCTGATGAAATTGTTCTAAGAAGGCAGGTGGGGGAAGAGGGAGAACAATGGAGGGGACAAATCCAACTAAGACACACTGTACGCACATATGTAAATATCACAATGTATCCCCCTGTACAAATATTATATGCTAATAAAATCATAAATAAAAAAGAAAATTTCTTCTTTAGATTTCTGGGCGAGGGAGGCAGAGAGAAATAAAACAGGTTTTTAAGCGTTTCTTAAAGGCAGTTTTAACCACTTTTAAATAGGGAAGACACAAATGTACTTTATGTTATCTAGTATACAGAGCTCAACAAATCCATGGGGTCCCACTGTTGGGGTAACAGCATTAAAACACATTTCTCATTAACCACAACCTTCTTACCGGCCCTCCTTCCCTCCCACGCTCTTGGCCAAGTTCCCATGGCCAAGTTCCCAGGCAGCAAGTTTGGATGTTCAGGAGTGTTGTGTTGATCACCTTAGTTTGCGTCCCGAGATTTGGACGTGAAGTGTAGAGCCTGGAGAGCTAACCACCAATGTTTCACCTCCACAGTGTGGATTTGAGGGAAATCCTGGCAGACTTCAAGGACTCCTAGGCACCAGCTGTCCCACATGCTGAAGAGAGAAGAGTCTCCTTCCTTTTTTTTCATCATGACAGGGTTTTGCTACGCTGCTTAGGCTGGCACAAACTCCTGGTCTCAAGCAATCCTCCAGCCTCAGCTTTCCGAGTATCTAGAACTACAGGCACAGGATGCAGTGCCTGGATCCCCTTCCATTTTCTTATATTCCTGTACCTGAGTTCTACCAAACAAATAGGCACAAATCATAACTCGGCATTGTAGGGCAATTTAAGGTGTTTTTGTGGTACTGGGGTTTGAACTCAAGGTTTCATGGTTGCTAGCAGGCACTCTACCACTTGAGCCACTCTGCCAGCTTTAAGACAATTTAAATGCAGCTTCTATCCTGGAAAATAAATGCAAGGCAAGACAACAACCACTAGAGGGAGCCCACTGGAGCAGTAGCAATCAAATCCCTGGATGTGGCAGCTAACTCAAACCTCCCTACAAAGCAAAGCCAGCCTCACGTTGCGTCTGTGGAGGGGACCAGCCCCACCACCTGCCGCTACTTGGACCCACCATGGTTAGCCCAGAGAACCACAGGGTCCACTGGTTCCACCCAAGGCCGCGTCCCAGAGATTGGCTGGCTCCAAAATAAGGTACTCCCATCACCTCGCAGACCTGCTTGCTAAATACTAGTCAGTCTGACCTCTTCCAAGTGTGATGCAGCCTGATGTTGAATAGATTAAAAGAGTTTGACCTTTTCCAAAGGTCAGACCTTGACTTTGTATCATTATAAGCATTAGCTTTTTCCTCTTTCTTCCTTATCAAGACCACTGCTGGGTCCCTACACAAAGGAGGATATAGCTTACTGGAAGAGTGCTTGCCTGGCCTGAGAACCTGAGTTCCATCCCCAGCACAGAACTGAAGGAGAGGAAGGGGAGGGAAAGGAAGGAAAGGAGAGGGTTGGGGAGAGAACGAAGGAAGGTTTCCTAAAGACAAGTCACTTGTCCATCACAGAAAATGGCAATGTATGTCCTCAAATGATCAGGGAAGGCTTTGGTCCCAGGACAGTGATGACAGGAAGGAGAGAATCTGCAGCTCGGTCAGTGTTCAGTTTATGTTAACTTCATTCCATTTAGAAACCTCACTCTACCAATAAAGCTGGTTGGCATTTCCTTTGTTATTGTAAAGCATCAAGAATATTTTTAGAGGTCCTGGGTCCTGGAGGAGATTCCCTGGCAGCTGCCACACAGAAGATGAACAGAGGGTACCACATGGAGACCTCAGGCCATAGTCCTCATGAGTAGGAGTCCATGTGAGCCATAGGATGTCGAGTAAGCAGAGAGCAGCAGCACTCCAAAGTGCCCAAGGAACCCCACTTCCAGAAAAGGCCCTGCAGGGAAAAGGAGTCTCTGCCTCGGGCAGAACTTGCAAAACTCAGACTGAAAATCGCTTGTAAAAGAACAGTATAAGGGAGCCCCCTCATTCCTTAACTAGACCAAAGGGAGGGGAGTTCTCACTGAGACCCAAAGTTGAAGTCAACTGTGTAAGGTAGAGCTTGGAGCCTGAATCAACCCTATCGCATCCCCACCAGCTGCCATTTCTCTGAATTTTTTATGACTTATATATACATATTCACATTTACATACAGTATACGTAAACCCCCCCTTTTTATGGGGTTATAATATACTGTATGTCCCCTCTGCCTTTCCTAGTATCATGCACTGAAGTGTGTCCCACCCCTCCCACCACCAAAATTTGTATGTTGAAATCCTAACCCCCACTACCTCAGACTGTGTTTGGAGTCAGAGTGATTATGGAAGGAACTGAGTTAAAAATACGTCATGGGGAGAGAGGCACTGGTCCGATCTGTCCTAATAAGAGGAAGCCACCCCAGAGATGTGCATATGAGCAAAAATGTCATGTGAGAACAAGCTACAAGGAGGCTATCCACAAGCCAAGAAGATGAGTCTCGTAAGGAACCAACATTAGATCAAGGGCAAACACCACAAGGGGATTGGACTTTGAGCACATGATAAAAGCGAGAGCACACAAGGGAGGGGTGAGGATAGGTAAGACACCTAAAAAACTAGCTAGCATTTGTTGCCCTTAACGCAGAGAAACTAAAGCAGATACCTTAAAGCAACTGAGGCCAATAGGAAAAGGGGAACAGGTACTAGAGAAAAGGTTAGATCAAAAAGAATTAACCTAGAAGGTAACACCCACGCACAGGAAAGCAATGTGAGTCAATGCCCTGTATAGCTATCCTTATCTCAATCAGCAAAACCCCTTGTTCCTTCCTATTATTGCTTAT